CTAGATGTTGGCAGACTATTTCGCGGAGTCTGCCAGAATTTCGCAGAGTCTGCTAGATGTTGGCTGACTATTTCGCAGAGTCTGCCAGAATTTCGCAGAGTTTACCAGAATTTCACAGAGTCTGCTAGATGTTGGCAGAGTCTGCCAGAATTTCGCGGACTCTGCCAAAATTTTGCAGAGTATGCTAGATGTTGGCAGAGTCTGCCAGAATTTCACAGAGTCTGCCAGAATTTCACATAGTCTGCTAGAATTTCGCAGAGTTTGCTAGATGTTGGCAGACTATTTCGCAGAGTCTGCCAGAATTTCGAAAAGTCTGTTAGATGTTCGCAGAATCTGCCAGAATTTCGCAGAGTCTGCTAGAATTTAGCAGAGTCTGCTAGATGTTGGCAGACTATTTCGCGGAATCTGCCAGAATTTTGCAGAGTCTGCTAGATGTTTGCAGACTATTTCGCAGTCTGCCAGAATTCCACAATGTCTGCAAGATGTTGGCAGAGTCTGCCAAAAAAATGCTAGACTAGCAGATCATGGTTCAAGTCTACCACTAAGTTGGAAAACTTTCGCAGAGTCTACCAGAAGTTGGCAGAGTATACCATTAAATTGGCAGAGTGTACCACTATTTACGCAAAGTCTGCCAAAAAAATGTTAGACTAACGGATCCTAATTCAAGTCTATCATTAAGTTGGAAGACTTTCGCAGAGTCTACCAAAAGTTGGCAGAGTCTACCACTAATTACGATTCTAAGTCTTTATTCAGGTCTACCGTTAAATAAGAAGGTGCAATGAGTTACCTGACTCTCCATAAATATCGAATGTTGAGAATTGAAAATGTAATTTCGTTTTTTTCTCATCATAGTATTTGAAGCGAACAAATCTACCAAAAAATACATTGATATCAGAACATACGATAAAATATAATTCTCCACAAGTGGAAAGATCAAATAATGTAACGTACTTCACCTTCAAAATAAGAACCAACGAAAAACGTTTGAATTTGAAATCAAGTCTTTTTGTCTTCTCTTCCCTTCCTCTCGTAAAGAAAGCTTTTAATCAATGGTTTTCTAATATTTTTTTTGTTTCAAACGGTTACTTAAATTACAAAAGACAATCTTTCGTTATTTCCTTTTCTAATTATATTTTAAAATAACT